ATCTTAAGTATGAAATAAGTCAGTTAAAAATGAGAGAGATTTGGATAGAGTGTAAAGACCCTAAATATCTACTCGTTTAGTTTGAATCGAGGAGGAGAGTGTGCGTGTGCAGCTGAAGTTCAACGAGTATGGTGAACTTGTACATGGATAAAGTTTAAAACCTAGTCTAGACGTGGATAGATATTTGTGAGCGTGGGTCAGCTAGCAAACATAACTGTTGTGCCTAATGTGAGATTTTATATGTGTGTTATCCATGTGATGAGAGGATCCATTTCACCTCTTCTCAATGACGATATAAACGGTATCGCGCGATGAAAGTTTATATGTGATATTTCGAATGTTAGTGTGATTTAAAATGAGAACAAAAATTAGGTTAAAATAGTGAAGATTACAATATGTTTATGTGATAATTTATTTTGTTGTGTAGTTTGATTGTAATATTTTGTTTGACATTTTCTTGACTATAAATATTATTATATTTTACATATTGCGTAAATATATTACGTAAGTCTACATTATAGAATTTTTTTTCTTACTAAGGTCGTGAAACTCACCCCAATTCACCCTCATCCAAGTAAGAAGAGATGAGAAACAAGTCCAAGATCAATGAAAGATAACAAAGAAAACTTTATTAGTTTTTATTTTAATATTATAAATTAATTTAAATGTTTCAATTATTGTAAATAAATAATTATTCTGTCACAATATATATATATATTAAAGTGTAGTTCCACTGCATATTTAATATTTATATGTTCTGTTAGTTAAAAATGTTGTGCTAACGTCCGTACCCACCGACATTAGGATTCGGACTTTTACAATATGATACCATCTCATCATGATAGAAATGAAAACAAATAGAATTTTATTATGTCCGTAGAATATCATACATGAATTAACTATAATTTACCACCAAACAAACAAGACATTAGATCTCATAATTTTTGAAGTGTTTAGTTTGAATATGAGTTATAGAACAAATATTGATAACTAGTAAAGAAATTTAAGAAGCAAGGTAAATTTAATGTAAAATTTGTTAAAAATTTTAGTTACACAATTTTAGTGTTAAAATAAAAATTTTAATTAGTCCCGGTCACTGAAATTTTAACTAAAGAATAATTTTGATTTTAGTATAATTAACACCATTGAGACACGTGCTATTTTTATTTACATCGTGTCAACTACAATAAATTTTGTTTAAACTTTTTAGTCATACCACATTAAATTTCAGTAGGATTTCTAATTAAAAAATAGTTTTAAAAGAAGAATAAAATTTTAAAATATATTTGATTTCTTTTTCAGGATTCCATGATTTAAGATTTAAACTATTCTGTATTAAGTTTAACAAAGTAATTATTTGGGGATTAATGTATTAGAACTAAAAATAGTAATTAACAAAAATACGAGCGCAATAAATATTACCCACTAAATAGTGTAATTTAAAGAATTATTATATTTTAATTAACTAGTGTGATTAACCCAAAAAAGAATGAAAATATGTGAATCTAATACAGGAAAAGAGCTATAGAATATTTCTATTAATTACAGTATCAGACAAAATATATTAATTGCATTTTTTGTTTTTCAGAAAAGGAAATAATACATGTTAGTAATTGAGTGCAATTGATTTAGTCTTTATTAGGATTTAATATAGGAGATATGTTAATATGTACAAAGTGTACGTATGCATATACATATTTCTTACTAATATATATTCATGTGTGTATATATAGATGTTATAGAGCAAATTAATTAAGCACCCAAATATTCTGGTTTCAATTCCTTCAGCTTCTCCATGGCGGCAAGAAGAGAGAAACTGTTCGTGGCTGTTACACTACTGCTACTGGGATCTGTCATGAATCAACCTCAACTAACAGGTCTCTCTCTCTCTCTCTCTCTCTCTCTCTCTCTCTCTCCCCCTTTCTGAATAGTGTAATTTACATACGTGTGTGTGTATATATATATATATAGATATAAACTGACGATTAAAGAGCATGGCAATTGGCCAAGCAATTAAGTTCTCTATTTTGTAATATTATGTTCATATTATCATATGCAAGAACGTAGTAAAACTAAAAAGAGAAAAAGAAAAGGAATTCCCTTGAATGACATTACTTAAAAAAAGCATTGTCTTGTAAACTAAATCCAAGTCTTTATTCCTTCAAGTTGAATAAATGATTTGTTTTTTTGAGACTATTGAATAATTTAGCTTCGAACATGAAAATTGACATAACAATAGCATATGCATCGAATTTTAAAAAGAAGATCATTTACACTGGTAAAAATTAAGTTTTAGTTGTGATATGTGATGCAGGTGCAAAACTAATAGGCGTTTGCAATGGACGAGTTGCTAATAATCTACCATCTGAAGAAGAAGTTGTGCAATTCTATAACTTAAAGGGCATAAAGATGATGCGCATATACGATCCAAATGAAGCAACCCTTCACGCCCTCATGGGAACAAATATACAACTCATCCTTGGTGTGCCCAATGAAGACCTTGCATCCCTTGTTGACCCTTTGGCTGCAAGTTGTTGGATAAGCCAAAATGTAATAGCTTTTTCACCCCAGGTTAAGTTCAAGTACATTGCTGTTGGAAACGAAGTGAAGCCTCTTGATGCAAATGCCCAGTTTGTCTTGCCGGCAATGCAAAATATATACAATGCATTAGTATCAGCTAATTTACAAACCCAGATTAAGGTCTCAACAGCAGTTGATGCAACACTTTTAGGGTCATCTTTTCCTCCATCAAGTGGTGCATTTAGTGAAAGTTCTAGCTCATATATAACCCCAATTGTCCAATTCCTAGCAAATGTTAAAGCTCCATTTCTGGCCAATGTTTATCCTTACTTTAGTTACGTCGGTGACCCAGTAAACATCAGACTCGACTACACCTTATTTACTGTACCAGATGGCGAAAGTGTGGTTAAAGATGGTTCATTATCTTATTATAACATGTTTGATGCAATGTTAGATGCTTTTTACTCTGCTCTTGACAAGGTTGGAGGATCTTCAGTGGAAATTGTTGTGTCGGAGAGCGGTTGGCCGTCTGCTGGTGGGTTTGCTGCTACAGTTAGTAATGCTGGTACTTACTATAAGAATTTGATTGAACATGTAGATAAAGGGACTCCAAAGAGGCCAGGAAAAGCGATTGAGACTTACTTGTTTGCCTTATTTGATGAAAATCAAAAGGGACCTGCAGAGACTGAGCAACATTTTGGTCTCTTCTCCCCGGATAAGCAGGCCAAGTACGAGAATATTATTTTTAATTAAATTACTTTCAGTTCTTTTACATATATATATATATAGAGAGAGAGAGAGAGAGAGAGAGAGAGAATAATAACATGATATTATTGAGTGCGATAATTAACATGGAGGCCTATTTGGTAGTTGGTTGTAATATGGTTATCTTTACGAGAGTAATAAGTAAAACAAGTGACATTTTTGCTACTCTTTCTTGTCTCTGTGTTATTAGTTACTTTTTACTATTTAAATTATCTAAGTAATATATATACTAATTAAATTTTTTGTTTATTAGAATGATATAATTAAAGAGAGTAATGTCATAACTGACTGAATTGAAAATTTTGCTGAGACTGAACTATTTAATTAAAAAATTACACTGTAAAAAGTTATTAACTGTCTAATTAAATCTAATATAATGTAAATGATATAAGTAAAAATAATATATGCCGTAATTGAATTAACTATACTGAAATTAAAAATATATTAGAGAATAATTAAAATTTCTACGATAATTAAATTGATATAATTAAATAGTATAATTAAAACAACAAAAAGCAACATGTAACTCCTCTGCGGTTGTCCCAAACACACGCATACACCTCCCGTAGATTGGCTACATTAACGTACCAGCCCTCGTCCCCATTATTATCGCCAACTTCCTCTCACCTCCTAATCCATCTTTATTCTCTATTGAAGAGCTGATTTCGTTTTAATCCATTTTCGCTCTTCTTCTTTTTCTTTTATTTTCGTTTAGGTAAGCATTTATAAAATCTGCGATGCTGCTTAAATGATGATTTTACGCATGAAAAAATATAGGATGGGTTGCATCTCGGTAAATGGACGTGGTAAAATAGCCATATGAGGTATGTATATTACATGTTTGATAAAATGCCTAAGAGAATCAAGCAAAATTGATTTGCACTGAGAGTGGATGAACATGAGAGTTGGAATTAGCTTTTTCCTCTAAAAAATTAGTATAAATATAAAAAAAGCAAAACAGTGTATTTTGGTTTGGAGCGAACTATACTGGAATTCTTCGACTACAGAACGGTCCAGTTTTGAGTTTAGACAACTTTCACCCATTATCAGATTCAGTTTTGTTCCTCCCCGTCATTACTTTCAGTCTTCACTTCATACTTAAATCAAGTCAAACTAAAAGCTAATAAAAATTATACTACTTAAGCCAAGGCCCAACTTGAGCTAAGCCCGAGTTGTCATTTAGATTGGACTCGGCTTAGCCCATGAGTCATGTCTTTCATTTACACTTTTGGTTTTTATTAGTTTACTGTTGATTTATAATTATGCATTTTTAAATTATTTTTTAATTGAAATATATGCAATTTCTTCCCTATTTATGTAGCCTCTGATCTCTCGTCTAGGGTTTTCTTTCTCTACTCCACCCAGGCAGCAGAACTTGTTCAAGTAAAAATGGTTAAGGGTCGCCAAGGAGAGCGTGTCAGGTTCCTATTTTTCTTCCCATTCAATCTCCCCATTTGGCTCTATATCCTAGTGCTTCCTCTCTACCGTTATTCAGTTTCCCCGTTAATTTATTTTATCTCATTTTTTCATCCGCAGGCTCTATGTTCGAGGAACGATTCTTGGGTACAAAAGGTATCAATCACTGCGCAGCCGCTTTTGTCCACAATTTAGAAGCTAAAGACTGTTTGGATTGATTTTCATCCTTCGCTTTCAGGTCGAAGTCGAACCAGTATCCGAACACGTCGTTGATCCAGATCGAGGGAGTGAACACGACAGAGGAGGTGACATGGTATCAAGGCAAGCGCTTGGCTTACATTTACAAGGCCAAGGTGAAGAAGAACGGGACTCACTACCGTTGTATATGGGGCAAAGTGACTAGGCCTCATGGTAACAGTGGCGTTGTTCGCGCCAAGTTCAAGTCTAATCTTCCCCCTAAATCCATGGTAACAAATTTAATCAATTGTGGATTTCCTGTTTAGGTCTTCGCTTAATTTGTTAGGGTGTGATGGTATATCACATTTGTTATTTTGTTGAACAGGGAGACAGAGTTAGGGTTTTCATGTACCCCAGCAATATATGAGGTACCGTCTTCGTTTTCTTCTCTCTTGTGATTTCAGTACAGATCTAAATGAAGCTATGACATCTTTTAACTCATTTTTAAGAGATGCCATGGTCTTGATGTTGTAGTTAGGTGAAGTATTGTGTTTCCTGAATTTAGCTTGAGAACTAAGGTTCATTTTTATTTGAAATAAAATATTCTGATGAATTCTTATATATTTCTCTCTTTGATATACTTATCTCAAATAAAATGGTGGGTACATTTCAGCTTCTGTTGCTTAAATATTCGGTATACAGAAGAATTAGTTTATTTTTCTTATGTTTGTCTTATATTATTTTGGGTTTACAATGTTGGATGATTCCTTGATGATGTAATGTCTGGAGTGGTAAAAAGGAACTTTTGGTTGAATATGAATTGTGGTATGAACGATGGTTGTATATAATTGATGCAATCAAATAAGTTTTGATTTTTCTTGATACGGTTTTCATTTGATTCTGGGTTCAAGAATGATGAGATCATGTCCAAATCAATTAATAAGCAAGCATTGTGGTGGGCCAAAAGTTATAGCTGCAATGCTGGATGCTTCTATAATGAGATCATGTTAGAACTGATTAGCAATCTTTTGGTGCAATATAAACTATAGTTATCACTTATCTTCGTTTATTCAATTGATGCAATCAATTAAGTCATTCTTTATCATTCCTTTAAGGGTTTTCAAATGATTCTTAGTATTTAATCTCCTGTCTATAATTTTGCAGCTTTTTTTTGGTATGTGGTGGTACAGTCTGCATAGATGCTAGATTTAGCTGGTGATGGGAGGTTGTTTGTGTATACCTTAGTTCAAGAATGATTCTGGATAAGGGAGCTCCCTACTTTTACCTCTTTGTTTGCCTGTATCCACTTAGTTAGCATGGACTTTTTTACACATTATTTTCTGGAATTCCCTCGCAAATTATGTTTGAATTTTTAAATAGATTCTATAGAAAAATTTCATTTATTCCAAACTTGTAAAAGAGGTAGGTTTAGCATGATCGGATTTGGTCTATTTAATCTTCTTTTTTGAACTTCATTATATGATCATGCGAGCGTCTTTAGACCAAAAAGGAAAAGGTTAAGGTGAAAAAGTATGTGTGAGATGTTGTGATAAAGATTAAAGATTATTTTGTTCCCTTATTATGACATTTTATGTTCAAACAGATACATCAATGCAATGCATTTATGATCTTCTCCTGAAAATAATTTATGAAATTTCTCTTCAAAACATAGTCTTACTGAACTAAGTAGGTGTTTGGGGTAGTTATACAGGTCGGTTTGTGAATTTTAAAACTGTTGTTAACTAAAATTACTTTTAGTAAAAAGTTGTTTTGGTGTTTGAGGAAATAAGTGTAAAATGTGAAAGTGAAAAGATGTTTAGACGAAAGGAAAAAAGAGAAGGTGAAAAGATGTGGCAGAGTTATTGTGATAAAAGGTTAAATATCAAATTTCTCCCTATTGTGGCACCTCTTGTTCAAATAGACATCGATATAATGCATTGATAATTTTATTATGAAAATAGGTTGTAAATTTATCTCTTCAAAACATAATCTTATTAAACTATGGTGTTTGGGATAGTTGTAATTTGTTTTATGAATTCTAAAAGTACTATTAAAGTAGTTGTTAATTAAAAATACTTTTAGTGAAATTTTTGTTTGGTGTTTGAGAGAGTTGACTACATAAAATGAAGGTGAAAAGGTCTTTAGACCAAAAGCAAAAAGAGAATGTGAAAAGGTATGCATGAGATGTTGTGATAAAGATTGAATATTAATTTTTTCCCCTTATTGTGGCACTCTGTGTTCTCGTAGATGTGTTAATACAATGTATTTCTAATTTTATTTTGGAAGTAGTTTATAAAATTTATTTCTTCAAAATAATAGTTTTATTTAACTAAGTGGGTGTTTGGGGTGTTGTAGTTTGTTTTATAAGTTTTAAAAGTGTTGTTAAATAGTTGTGATGCTCGATAAAAAATACAATCTAAAGTTTACACAAGTTCAATTAGCATCAAAAACATAGTCTCTAAGTAAACATTCATTATTCAATCTGATATCAATAAGTGATAGAAACTAAGATAATTGAAAAAATATAAGATTATTTTGATAAGTTAATATAATTCTTCACTCAACGAAAATGATGAAGAACGTTTCACTTATTGAAAGTTAAAGAAAAAATATTTTATTATTTTGACCTTGAATACTTGAATACAATTCTAGAGCCTTATTTTATTATTACTGAAATAAAATTATTTATTTTATTACTTTGAAGAACATCTCATTTGTTGAAAACTATTTTTCTCTTTAATTTTATTATTTTGAATTTGAGTATTTGAATACAATTCTTAAGGTTTATTTACAATTGAATATTAGGTGAAATATAAGGAAATAAAATCGTTTAATTAATTATAATTACTTTTTTAAAAAAAATTATAGATTACATAATTAAGAAAATAATATTAGTTAATGTAAACATGACTACCTATCTTGTTTGTTGTTTAAGGAGAAATAGTTTTAAAAAATAAAGGTAAAAAGGTCTTTAGACCAAAAGAAAAAGAAAAGGTGAAAATGTATACTTGAGATATTATGATAAAGATTTTTTTTTTTTTTTTTTTTTCCATATTGTGACAATTTATGTTCGAGCAAATGCATTTAATTAAAAGTTATTTGGTGTTAGTAAAAAGTTGCATAATTTTTTAAAAGTTAAAACTATGTGTGCGATAAAAATTACCAAAAGAGTAAAAATAAAAAATAAAACAATATAAAAATAGAAATTGTCTGTTTAGTTAAAATAGCTGTAAAGACCCAAATTTTTTTTCAAAATTAATAGTTTATTAAATTATTAGATGTAGATCAATATTAATAAATAAAACATATAATTTAAATTATTAATTGTACGTATTATTATTTATATACTATATTTTATACTTTATGTAAATATGTAATAGTACAGTTATTTATATGTATATTACATATACAAATATAGTATATATATATATTTAATTATAGCAAATATTTAAATTAACTTATAAAAATGTAAAATAATTATTTACCCCTAAGTAACAACTGAAAAGTCATTAACCAAAAAAAAACATTCCTCTTGTACAACAATCAAATATTTGTACACTTGCGGTAAACAACATTTCAAGAGGAAAAAAAAAACCAACTATATAAGCCAAAACGCAACGCAGAAACCCATCTCTCTCTGTTTCTCTTTCTCCTTCCCGAGTTGCTTTTTCTTGTTTCTCTTTCTAAAAATGGAGACACCGTCATCACCACTTCCACCATCACGATTATTACTGGAGATGGAGCTGGATGACATCAGACCTCTTGAAATTCTTGACGAAGGCGCCATGGGTACTGTGGTTTTTGCTCACCGCACCGTGTCCGACTCGGATGCCCGCTTCCCGTTTGCTCTCAAGGTTGATGGCAACACTATCTCACATTCGAAGCTCGGCGCTGACCGTCGTGTCTGGTGAGAAATCCGTGTATGGACCCGTTTGTCTAACCCGAAACCGGATCCATTTCTGCCCCATCCGCTTGGTTTTTTTCGAGACCGGCGACTGGTAGCAGGTGTCGCACCGGCGGTAAATCGCAGAGGCTGGTACTTGCAGGTGGCTGCTTGCCTGCAGGGAGGCAGAGGAGGTGGGTGGCTAGTTTGAGAAAATATGGAAGGAGGAGGATTTGAGGATCTTCTATATAGGTGTGAGATTTTAAATTATAGACTTTTAGTAAAAGATAAAATTATTTTTTATAAGTTAGATATTGTATTTTTTTATTTTAAATTTATTTAAAGCAGATTTTTTTACTCTGATTATGGTTAAAAATACAATATATAAATAGTAAAAATATTTTTAAAACGCAAAAACTGCAACAAAAAATTACACCAGTCGTACCAAAAGATTGTGTTATGAGTTTTAAACTGTTATTAATAAAAAAATAATTGACACTTAGACAAAAAATAATTATAAGAAATACTATCACTTTTAAAAATATATAAATTTGATTTTTAAAATTTTAAGTATAAATTTAAAGTTAAAGTAAAAAATATATATTATAATTTTTAAATTTAAAGCTATAAAAAGTATATCTTAATTTTGACGGTTGCTAAAATTATTTTATCTTACTTGGTTATTTGTCAAACGAATTTAGGTGTATAGTTTTATGTGATTTAAGTTTACGTTTTAAATTTTAAAAATATTATTAAAATAATTATTCACTAAAAATATTTTTAATTAAATATTTGTTAAATAGTTGTAAAAAATATTTTTACTTCAAAAAAAGTAGAAGTTGTATTTGGTAAAATCAATTTTTAAAATTCTAGGTGTAAAAATTAAAATAATTTTATAGAAGCTACACATTGTGGCTTTTGATTTAAACCCAAAAAGCAAATATGAATTTTGGCTCTTAGTAAAAGTACTTTGTATAATGTATTTGTTTGCTAAAGTATTTTTAAAGTGTAAAATCCAAATTCAAAAGTTGTGTCAAACACTTCCTATACATAAATTTCTCAATAAATAAATTCATTTGTTCTGAATATAACTTTAGAAGATAAGAGTTTTCAATTGAAATTGAAATTGAAATTGAAATAAAATATTTTGGCAGCAGCCTTAAAGAATTAATTACATGAATTCTTCTTTTTCCAAAAGAAACTCATTCTCATGCCGCTGGACTTTAAACGGTGCGTTTTGCTTTGTGGAGGATGAGACTCAATAGCAACTCTGGCACTTGAAGGTGTCCGCATTGAATGCGCTTTGCCTTGCAGGTTTCATTCCTTTGAAAAACCAGGTGTAAACGGATTTACAGCTATCTTCTCTCAGGTCCCACCCACGTTCTTCTTCAACCTCAAGTGCCCTTCATCACTTTCACTGCATTTTCCTGTTAGTTGCTTTTAAAGCACACCACGGCTTTCTGCTTTCTTCAGAATTCCCATTTTCCTCTCTCTTTCCCTACTCTTCTTTGCTGACTTCTTCCCAAAATTGAAGTTCCTTCACCTGACTGGTAACTCAACTCTATCATTCCTTCCATTTTATTTTCATTTGTCAGTAATTTTTATAGTTTCCGATTCTAACTGTTGCTGCTGCTATGCTTGTCAGTTTAATTCTTCTGATTCTGTTTTGTTTGAATAGGAACTTATAATTATTATTGACATTTTACTGCTTGTCTGCTTTCTGATTGTTTTCCTCTGTTTTTCCTTTGAAGGGGGAAAAGAATTTAGGGTGGAGTGTCCGCGTTTTGTAGGAAAATGGAAACTTTACCCATTCGAATGGGGTGGCCATCTACTGTTATTTGGTTTTCATTGTTATTATTTTACTTACTACACAATTTTGGAGAATGTCTATCTGATTCTTCATACTTGATTGGCCTTGGAAGCTATGACATAACGGGACCTGCTGCTGATGTCAACATGATGGGGTATGCCAATGTTGAACAGGTTACTTCCGGAGTTCATTTCAGGCTGCGATCTCGTGCATTCATAGTGGCCGAACCTCAGGGAAACCGTGTTGTGTTCGTAAATCTTGACGCATGCATGGCTTCTCAAATTGTTACGCTTAAGGTGCTTGAGAGATTAAAAGCAAGGTACGTCCTACTCTGAGCTTGCCCTCTTGGGTTAATTTTAATCTGGGACTCTGGCTGTCCTCTAAGTTAAAAATAGTATCCAGATAACTTTAGTTGAATTTGCATATCATCTTAAGATGGAAAACTTACTATGTCTAATTCCTGAGTCAGCATTTTAAGTAGTATTCTAAAAGATGCTTTTTGGTCCTACTATACCAGCTTTTAAAATTGTTACGGTGTATCTTCCTTTGTCCAGATATGGGGACCTTTACACAGAGAAGAATGTTGCTATAAGTGGTATTCACACTCATGCAGGACCTGGGGGCTATCTCCAATATGTTGTATACATTGTGACATCTCTTGGATTCGTGCGCCAGTCATTTGATGTCATTGTTGATGGCATTGAGAAAAGTATCATACAAGCTCATGAGAATCTTAGACCAGGTTCTATCTTTATTAATACAGGTAATGGAGATTACTCGTGATCCTGTTTGACTGGACTATGTAGCAGCATGCTTGTTAACTGCTCCTTGTTCTGAATGTATTTGAGCCATTTCGTAACTGACTCGCCATTGTATTTGTTTATTGGGCATCCATGATTCCATATGGACATATAAGTGTATATAGCCACTTAGATAGGTAACTGAGGGCCTCTGATGGAGATATAGTACTTGCTTTTAGAATGTACTTATGCACTTCTTTTTCTAGCCAGTTGCAAATTTCCTTGTGAGGCAAAGATTCTCTTCAGTTGGCGAATTTTATCTCCATTAGCTCTTTATCCTTTACGGACTATTTATTTCATTTAAATGTCTCTCCAGCTATATAAGAATATCATATTTAAAAGCTATATGAACTTTTTCATCGTGGGGACACAGGAGAGCTCCTGGATGCTGGTGTAAATCGTAGCCCTAGTGCATATCTCAACAATCCCACTGCTGAAAGGAGTAAATATAAGTACAATGTTGATAAAGAAATGACACTCATAAAATTCGTTGATGATGAGTGGGGTCCAATCGGAAGCTTTAACTGGTTTGCAACTCATGGAACTTCTATGAGTCGTACGAACTCACTGATTAGTGGTGACAACAAAGGAGCTGCAGCCAGATTTATGGAGGACTGGTTTGCACAGAATTTGGATGCTTTTGGTAATCTTTTGACAAATAATTCTCAAACTGACAAAATCCCTCGAAGAGTTTCAAGCATTGTTTCTAAGCGTCAAAAAAACAGTATGTGAACTCTTCTTTAATTGACCCTGGTATATACATATAGAAAATCCATGAATCAACTGGTTATGTTTGTAGCTGAAATCTGATTTTAGTATGTCAACATATACATAGATTGGAAAACCAACTTATATGCAATGATACTTATCCAATTGTAAATCTTTAATTAGAAGTTGACCTCCCAATGCTATGAGCTAATAAATAAATATATAGAAAAACTTACATATACATAAGGAAAAGAGTAGGATGCCAGTCCGGGTGATTTCCGATTAGTGGATCGACAAGGTGAATATTGCAGCATAATGTCCTTCATCCAATAAATAACAGCAAGTGGTTCCAGTGTAGTAATATGCAGTCCATCTGAAACAGGTAAGGAGCTGCTGGAAATTGCTTCCTCCTTTAAGTCTCCTCAAGGAAAACCTACAACAAAATTCTTGAGTGTTGCAAAGCGGGTAAGGAATGCTTTCAGGCATGCTGATAGGCCTCAATTTGTTTCTGCATTCTGCCAATCAAATTGTGGTGATGTAAGTCCAAATATTCTTGGGGCGTTCTGCATAGACACTGAGCTGCCCTGTGATTTCAATCACAGTACCTGTAATGGGAAAAATGAGTTGTGTTATGGGCGAGGCCCAGGGTATGCATCTCTCTTGATCTTTATTACTGTTTTGTTTTAACATTCAGACTTTGGCTACTTGTAAAAATAGTGAGATGAATATATGTTATTGGCAGCTATCCTGATGAATTTGAGAGCACACGTATTATTGGAGAAAGGCAATTCAGAAAAGCTGTGGAACTCTTCAATAAAGCCACCGAGAAGCTGAAAGGAAATATCGGATATCAACATGCTTATGTGGATTTCTCCAATGTTGAGGTTTCACTTCCTAAAGCACAAGGTGGCAATGAAGTGGTGAAAACATGCCCAGCTGCAGTGGGATTTGCTTTTGCTGCTGGAACCACTGATGGGCCTGGAGCTTTTGACTTTAAGCAAGGAGATGATAAGGTAATTTGGAAATTTTTAGTGCATGTCTGTTCCATGCTTTAGAGTATGCTTTAATGGTGAGAACCTAAACTGCACTAAGTTTCTGCTCGTTGATGCTTTCCTCAGGGTAATATCTTCTGGAGGTTAGTGAGGGATCTTCTGAAGTCCCCAAATCAAGAACAGATCAAGTGCCAGCATCCTAAGCCCATTCTGCTTGATACCGGTGAAATGAAGGAACCATATGACTGGGCGGTGAGTGCTTAGATTATTTTGCACCTTGTAAAAATGGTGAAAAGTGTCTGAAAGTAAAGTCAATGATTGGGCATATTGAGTGCCTTACATGGCATAGGCTGTGAGGCCACTGATGCACCTGGAAACAATCCTGAGTCCCTCACATGGGATAGACAGCTAGGCCACTGATGCACCCAAAAAATATCCTAAGTGAGTTGCTCAGAAGCATATGGTAGAAGTGTCATAAATATCAGGTCACAGGAACATTGAAATTCCTTTTCCATATATACTCCTTTCCTTTTCTTGTTGAGGATACACATTATAAGCTTTATGGCAAACATATAATTCATTCTAGATAGTAGATACATACATCAGCTGATGCTTAGCCTGGTCACTTGTTTTTTCTTCCAAATATATTGATGTCATTGTTGCATGTCTATGGTGCATGAGGAATACTTCGTTTCAATCTATCACTAAAGAAACATTTCAACTGATGCTTTGGATGAATGATAGAGTTTTTTGAGTCATTTCTATAATGGCTATTTGTGAATACAATGGTCAATATTAGATTTCAACAGATACCTTGAGCGATCATGCTTATTGATTTTGTGTTTAACAACCCATGCAGCCCTCAATACTTCCAGTTCAAATTTTACAAATTGGGCAACTCATAATTCTCAGTGTACCTGGAGGTAGAGAAAACCTTTTGCTTTCTTCCAATAATTTTTTTTCTGTTTGGCTTCTACTATTTTAAGACCCTGGTAAATTTGAAGCTCTTTCGAGCTTGAAAACAGAATCTTAGATACCTCATTTGGTGTTATCTCTGGATGATACAAGCATGGACTACTGTCATATGTTCTGTTATTTGATCACGGGGTTCATCTTTGGCTGTCTTGTGTTTATTGATATTGCTAGTGGTCTTTGCAGAATTCACAACAATGGCTGGAAGGCGTCTCAGGAATGCTGTGAGGATGGTGCTTACTTCTGGACGTAATAACGAACTTGGCAACAATGTCCATATTGTCATTGCAGGGCTGACAAATACATATTCTCAGTATGTGACTACCTATGAGGAATACCAGGTGCAAAGATACGAGGTTAGTGTGCTTGTTGCCTTCATCAATTTTGTTGGTTAACAATCTCTCAGTGTGTTGTTGCTGTTTGCTATTTTGTCATCTCAGTTACATTGAGTGGCAAAATGTTTGGCAATTATGATGAGTATCTGTTAACTGGTATCACATGCTGATTTTCAGGGAGCCTCCACTCTCTATGGTCCACACACACTTAGTGCATACACTCAGGAGTTCGAGAAATTAGCAGCTGCTCTTATCAGTGGCCAAGCTCTTGGACCAGGGCCACAGCCCCCCGATCTCCTAGACAAACAAATCAGCTTACTCACGCCAGTCATTGTGGATGCAACCCCTCCTGGTGTGAGCTTTGGGGATGTTAAAACTGATATCCCGCCTAATTCCACCTTCAGAAAGGGTGATATAGTCACAGTCACCTTCTGGTCTGCTTGCCCCAGAAATGATCTTATGACTGAGGGCACATTTGCACTAGTTGAAGGACTTCAGGGGCAGAAGACATGGTTCCCTGCTTATGATGATGATGACTTCTGCCTACGTTTTAAGTGGTCAAGGCCTTCAAAACTCAGCCCATGGAGTTATGGAACCATAGAATGGCAGATACCAGAATCTGCTGTTTCAGGTGTGTACAGAATCAGGCATTTTGGTGCTTCGAAGGCACTTTTTGGGTCAATCAGTCATTTCACAGGTTCTTCTAGTGCCTTTGTAGTAGAATGAAGTGGTGATATGAGCAGAAATCTCGGTGAAAAATTGTTAACGGTATACTATGATATTCAATATCTTACTTGACTACGTTTCGATATCCAAGATCTGTTTGTAGTTTATCAGGATATGATATACAATCAGTTTGAAAAATTGTACTTAATCCTTCTTCATGAGCACATTTTCATGGTGAGTCCTGAAGATCTCTGGCAAAAAGAAGAGGGCAAACACCTATAGATATCTTACTTGAACATTACTGACAATTTATGCCATGAAAAGAAAATAGATAGCTTACTCATGGGAAATCTGATATTCCAATCTTTACATTGTTTTTAGAAGAAATGTTTTAATCTTGCCAGGGAAAATTCATGGGTGAGCATCAATAATTCTGGTGGCTTGTCCAGATTAGAGTCATGGTTTGCTCGTGCAAGTTACATGACTGTTTTGGATTGAACTTATATTCCTTAATTGAGTTTTAAAACATTAAACATACATACAGCTTTTCTGTTCGTCAACTGTCAACTATTTGTTGAAAGTTTTCTGAAATATACCTCAGATAAGCACCTTTATGTGCCACCGGATCATATTGAACACGTGCCATTTTAACACCATTGTTGTCCATGTGAAATTTATGGATTTAATCAGTATTGAATCATAAAATCAACGTCAAACGGCCAGTAATTGCATTGTCTCGCACGAGAGCAAAGATTTTAGATGGGAGCCCCCTTCATTCTCCATGTAGGTAGCATGACCTGCTATTCTTGTCATCTTCTTCTCCAAATATTCTGCAGCTTACAGGAGCTTCAAATTCTTGAAATGCTCCGAACCAATGAAGATTCAAGTACTATGGGCCACAACTTGGCTTGTGATTTCGTGGTACAGTTTAGCAAGTACTTGACCATTGGCCACATGGCAGCTTGTTCATTGCAAAGCTACATAGCAATCGCACTGGTGCCTATGCAGAGTATAGAACCCAGTTGTTGAAGATAACTGGACTCAGTCTGGTTTTCTGCTGCTCTGTCGTCTTGGAATGTGTCCTTAAGGTACCTTTCGATGTCATTTAAGGCAGCTTTCTCCACTGCCAGTTTGGGCTACACTGACCAGCAAAAGAGAGACCTGGCTTTCCTATGCCACTCTGCTACCTGTTGTTTCAGGGATTATCATTGCTAGTAAACTAATTTCATCATTATTGTTTTCATCTACCACTCAACTTCTGTTTCTGTGAAATTCTGATTTGCATTCCTGCTGAAGAGTTTAGTTTTTGATTTTATGTTCATTTTGAATAAAGAGAATTCAGATCTCCTACAAAAAGCAAAAGACTTGGTTGACTGATGATTAGTTATTGATGGATTTAGTGAAAGATATCCCTATGACATCTAATTCTTAGCATCAACATGCAAAATATTGTTGTCCTTTTGCTGCTGCAGACTTACTATTGAAGCTAGCATCTGGGTTTATTTCAGCAATCTCTCTGTCATTCCATCTGTCAGTGAACCTCTTCTTCTCATAACAATTACTAGAAAAAAGTTTTGTCAGAAGTCTGATCCCTTTATTTTTCATAGAACTACCATTAATGTTAATTGGTTATAACTTAATCTCTGTGTGTTTCTTGTTCATGTATCAGTTTATCCATGTTCAGTATATAAGTACTGGGCTCATTCAATATCAGTTTATACATATTCAGCAATACATGTATCGGTTTAAATTGTGATGCTACAATTGCGAAGACTAGTTCTATTGGGCTTAGGATTGTGTTTAAGGATGCTAATAGGTTAATTGTATGAGCAGCTATGCATAGGATCCCGACACCCTGCCTGTGTTTATTGCTGAAGCACATGCCACGTTATTCAATTTGCAGGTTGCCATGTGGAATGGATTCTTGAATGTGATTGTCGGAAGTGATTGCAAATGGGTGGTGAGCCATATTGCAGCGCCTATATCTTCTTTATCTGTGTTGGAATTTTTCGTTGATGATTTCTTTTCTGCTCATAATGGTTTTATTCAGATGGATTTTCTTCGATTCCTGGTGATTGGAACTTGGGGGCTCATGCCTTGGTTAGTAGAGCTCTCTACAATCTTGTTGGAAACAATGTACTGGAACCACCTTAATTTCTTGGTTCCTCTTTTGGATCGAGATGATTATTCCTCCTGATTTCTCTTCACATTTCTTTTAGCCTTTCAGGCTCTAGAGATAATGATGAAAATGAGTTGCTGAAGTAGTCTATAGCTGATAAAGATCAAAAACAAGATAGTTTAATCATGCCAGCCATAAAGTAGCTGCAGTTATCTATAGATAATTTTAAGATCCTGGCCTTTTTGCAACATTTACTATATTTGTTTTCTTTCCTTTTTGAGAGCTTCTGTTCATTGTTATGCACAACTATTTGGTTGCAGGGCAAACCGAATTTCCATCTCTTTGAAATTATCGTGTGTGTTTCAGCTACGGCTGTAAGGGCATTTAAGGTAGTGCTTCAGGCTATTTGGCTGTATTCAAATGGGTAATGAATCTCTTTTCCTGTTTCTCTGGGTTCCTTGATAAACCAGTGGAGTTAAACTGAATCAATCATCTAAATCTGGTGCTTTATTTTGCCCCCTAGTATATTAGTTTGCACCAAATTTGATCTTTTCCAGGGAAAAGCTTAACTCGATGAATTTTCTGATGCATATGGCACTGTTAGCATTCTTACTTCCTACAACATTGTTGATGGAGGGAAATGTACTTCAGATCACACTGAAGCTTGCCCGAAAAAAAGATTAACGTAGTCTGTATCTGCTTTTCAATTCATCTCTGGCATTTTTCGACTTGACTAATTTCTTGGTGACCCAACAAGCGCATTGACTATCCAGGTATAGCCAAATATTTTGGTTATATTAGAAGCGTACTTAACAATTCTAGTCTATCTTTAGCCATGTTTCTGTTATACTAGATTTTTACCAACAACTAAGCATATCTTCCTGCTTTTTGCGTGTAAAATTTCTTACCTGATTTCTTCTCTTTTTGCCAATGTAACACATTTAAGAACAATGCATTAAACTTGTACGTATTGCTACTGTGATCCAGAGTACCGAATAAAGTAATAATGAATTTCATTCGCTGTTATATTTTAGAAAACATTACGAAACCTTACACATCTAAGAAAAAATAGATGGAACACTTGGTAAGAATGTCACACATCGGAGCTACTCCTGCTGTGATCATTAATACCCAAGCTAGATTACTGTTTGTGTTTTTATTACTTACATGTATGTATCAACTGTTATGCAATACACATTGCAGTTTGATAGCATCATGAGTTTTAATTCCTTGCTGGAAGAATTTATTATCCAGTTCGAAGGTAATGGTTTGCAAAATCTTACAGGTTCTGGGGAATGCAAAACAGGCCATTACCGTGATTATCTAGATTCTGGTATTTAAAGTCCCATATCCGCAATGAAATTGCTTGGGTTATTCGCTCACAGTAGTTGGAGTTATTCTTCACGGTGAATCAAAGAAGAGGAGCAAATGAAACTCCAACATGAAAAATCATTACACAAGCACATTGTTTGTTATCTTAGTCTACAAGTAATTGGTTTTAATAGTTTAGGCAACTGCTTGGGATGGTAGATGACATAGCTTTTTCTTTCTAGGATTTCTTCTCTGAGGAATTTAAATACAGAGTTCATACAAACCAACATCAAAACATTAGCAGACTGAACTGGAATTCAGAAAAGACACTGATTTATCTTTTATACTATAACTTATTGAGTGAGAAGAAAACTTCTTCATCTCTGTTGATATATGATCTTTAATTCTCTCCTGAGAACTTGATTAACATATGTGTTCATTGTATGGGTAAATTTTGCTCAATATTTTCAGTTAAATCATTGTTAAGAAACCATATTATGAAAGATTTATATAATGTTCATCAACATTACAAACCCATGAATTTTTGTATTGGTTAATTCTGTTTGATGAATAAATTTCTATCTTTTATTAAAAGAACACCTCTATATATACATACATATACACATACATACATACCTTTGTGAAACTGATGGGACTTCTTTGTACTAGAAGAATTCTTTGTGAGTGGCAACCTTAAAGGAAGGCGCATTAGATTTCTGAGAATATGTTTTCCAGATGGGCCACTTGGGGAGCATCATGTTACACACCAGAATTCAAGTTTCAACTGCTGAGACCAAGTTATTCCTATCTTATCTCTCTTATAATTTATTTATTTTTATTTATTAATTCATTTCTAACTTCCATTAATTTTTTTTAATGAAATTTGGACTTAATTTTATGTTTCAAAATTTAGAATTATAAATGAATTTCACAAAATTTTCTGAAATTCATTATTCCAAACACAGTATAAAAATATATATATATATTTAGGTTAGCCTAAAAACTGCATTGTTTATAAATTAGGAGGCTCATAAACTATTCATTAATGTTAAAGTATGACTCTAGACACTGTTCGAATCTTAAGATTAATTTTTTCTTAAAATTACATCCTAATTTTTTTAAAATATTTTATAAAATTCTATAACGATTTTGATTTTTAGGGTCATCTCTAAATCTTGATGCACTACTTCAATAATAAAAATAAAGTCGTTTTAAAATTATTAAGATATCTGATATTTGTCCAAATAATTTTAAATTACGATCGTTTTTGTTATTATTAAAAATATTTACTTTATGTAGTTTATATTAAATTATAATAAAAAAATTTGTAAAGTATTATCATATCTTAAAATATTAAACATAAAGTGAATATTAGAATAACAATTTTATCTAACACCAATAGAATAAATATAATTAAGTACTTCAAATAAACTCTCTTGTTCATTTCAAGTAATTTGCTTACTCATTTAATAGTAACAATGATATATTAATTATAAAATAAGCTACAAATAACATAATCTATCTAATATTGTAAGAATAGTATTTTTTATTTTTTATTTTTGGCCGTCATTGGTAAAAATCTGATATTGCCATTACCTGTTTTCTAAAAAGAACCTGACCTTACTCGTTCCACAGTCATCAACGCTATCGGCCGCCTAGCTTGCCAGTTGAAACACGACTCCGCCTCTAAATTTCGGGATTTTACACGTGGTGGATTTTGATTGGACTAGAAAATGATTGCAAATGTAAAAGTTAGAAACGGAAGTAGAGGATACCAACGTTTTAAAGGACGCATTCAAAGGCAAGCTTAAAAGGTCCAAACTGTAATGCCATAGCGAGGTGGTGACGACGATTGACGCGCAGCAGATCAACTTGGCCACCATTTTACACTTTTCCCAAGATTCTCGTTCCAGGTTATACAAATTTCCTCATATATGTTCAAAATAAATCTAGATAAATTAGGAGATATCTATTTTTTCCGCCATTTCTGCTCGCTGCTTCTCCAGTCTTCAGTTTATTTACTTTTTGCTGTGGCTTTCCTCTTTCTTTGCTATTGTTTAATCAGATCCATCAAAGCTTAGTTCTCCTTTTCTCTGTGATTAGTTCCCTAGATTAAACATGGTGGCCGATAGCAAGGGAAAATCCGACATCTCCTTCGCTGGAACTTTCGCTGCCAGTGCGTTCGCTGCCTGTTTCGCTGAAGTACATTACCGCCATTTTCTCCTTATTACTTTACTGCTTTGTTGATTTGATCGCATATTTTTCTGTCCCAATATCGCGATATCTAGCTTGATATGGATCGGCTATTGATACATTTGTGTTTAAATTTTAAAATTAGTCGTGAGTGTAATTCGAAGTAGTTCTACTTCGTTCAGGATTGAGCGGTGAATGTTAACTTGTGTCTCATGGATTAATTTTTATCGTCATGTAATAAGCGGCTTTATTTATGATTTCTGACGGAGAAAGAAGAACCTGTGGGTCTTGATGTGCAGTGATGTTAGTAGTCAAACATGTAGACCTCTGCTTTATATCATTTTTAGGTAGAATTGCTTATGTACCGTTGATAATTTTTTAAAGCATTAGATAGTAGATGCATGATTTTACTTCAAAATGGGGAGTTTCATTTTAATTTTTAATGTGTTGAATTGGTGCTTTTCTTATTACTGTGTGTTTTATGCTTGAGTTCATATATACGTAATGGCTATGTTGGTAGACATCTACTTTTGGAGAAATTGCAGATTGTATAGGCTCATATTTGATATTAGACCTCTACTCTGGTTTATGCCATATTAGTGAACTGGACTATCTTATTGTCCATTAGTCCAAAATAGATTGGGATCAATTTTCTGTGCCACTATGAACCAATTTGTGCAGTTAGGTTTTCAAGTTCTTTGTATTCGAATGTTTGCCTGAAAACAAAAAGGAAAGAGAAAAAAATCTGATCTCATATGAGAAGCTTTGAATTATATAGATTATGGTGCAGCTGAGTGTTAATTGTTACAGGTGCATTTGTTTATAAGCATAGATTTAAATCCAATGCAGATTTGTACCATTCCTCTGGACACTGCTAAGGTTAGGCTACAGCTCCAAAAGAATGTGGTTGCTGGAGATGCAGCAAGCTTACCAAAATACAGGGGATTGTTGGGCACTGTTGCTACAATTGGTAGGGAAGAAGGCCTAGCAGCACTATGGAAAGGCATTATACCAGGGTTACATCGCCAATGCCTTTACGGAGGCTTAAGGATTGGACTTTATGAGCCCGTGAGTTACAACAAATCTACTCTTACATGAAACTTACATAATATACATTTTTTGTCTGCTTCCTGAATAACATCTGTACACATCATTTACTTGGCAGGTTAAGACCTTTTACACAGGCAGTGACTTTGTTGGCGATGTTCCATTAAGCAAGAAAATACTTGCTGCACTAACAACTGGTGAGTAAAATGCTGGTTGCTTTAGGAATTAATTATCTTTATGGAAACTTTAGGAGAATCTTGTTAAACAACATAAATGGATCCTTGTCTCTTACTTTATCAAGCTTAGTCATTTACTTGGAGGAGATTTCCTTGTTACCTAGATAAATACAGCAAGACAATTGCTGGTTCCTTTTCGTTTCGATTCATTAACTACGTGACTATCTTTTCAAATAGGTGCTCTGGCGATTGCAGTTGCAAATCCAACTGATCTTGTGAAAGTTAGGCTTCAGGCTGAAGGAAAATTACCAGCTGGTGTCCCAAGGCGCTATTCTGGAGCGCTAAATGCATATTCGACAATCATGAGACAGGTTGTTCATCTCATAGTGGGAGAGACATATAAAAGTTCCTTGACATTGTGTTTGTTATTCATTCCACTTCTTCATTATCTGATTCCTAGGAAGGGGTTGGGGCTCTGTGGACTGGGTTGGGACCTAACATAGCACGAAATGCTATTATAAATGCTGCTGAACTAGCCAGCTATGATCAAGTGAAGCAGGTTTGCTCAATCTATAAGAATTGGCACTTTTTTTGCTCTTATGGAATCTGAAGTAATGTTGTTTATAATGACTTGTATTTTTGTGCAGACAATTCTAAAAATTCCAGGGTTCACAGACAATGTTGTCACTCATCTTATTGCTGGTCTTGGAGCAGGATTTTTTGCTGTTTGTATTGGTTCCCCAGTTGATGTGGTGAGCATTTTCATATGCCTTGGAGCCCTTGAAATTGGTTTATGGTTTGATTGCTTTCTGATGTAGTGTTGCTTGCTGCTTGTCAGGTAATTAGTTGCCAGCAAAATATGCATGTCTAGAAAGGTCATTTCCCGTGCTTTCTTCTGAAGGCTAATTGTTTTACTGCTTTTGGCAGGTTAAGTCGAGGATGATGGGAGATTCCAGCTACAAAAGCACCCTTGATTGTTTTGTCAAAACACTGAAGAATGATGTATGCTTGTATTCTATCAGCTCTGAATTTTTTAATCTATTTCCCGTAATTGTGCTCTCTAATGTCCAAGAGATTAATATAATTAGAGTTTTAAATTGAAACAATAACCAACTATTTTGTTTTGAAATATACTACACCCACCCATTGCCAAATTTTTTCATAGCAGTTGTTAACTTATCAGTCTGTTTAAACAACTAATTTTTGCCAGATTTCTCATGGCATAAAGGTCTAACAATCATTATCTTCTGCGTTTATTCAAAGAAAATTTTCCCAATTTGAGGAAAATCTGTTTGTTTGCTAAAACTGAGAGTGGGAAATAAGAGAGAGAGTGAGCTGTGTTTGTTTATACGATTGTTTTTTGTTCTCATCTGGTATACTCTTTCTTCAGGTTTGACTATCATATTATGTCTAATGGGTTCAAGTTTGAACTATTATATTATATCCCATATGTTAAGTTAGTCTACCTATAAACTGTGAAGTTCATTATTACTCAGTAGACTAATCTGGCAGAGAGCCCAGTTTGACAATTGTTTCACTTAAAACAATCTGATGCTCTTGCAGGGACCTCTTGCATTCTATAAGGGATTTATCCCCAATTTTGGACGGCTTGGATCTTGGAATGTGATCATGTTTTTAACTTTAGAACAGGTACAAGTTACAAAAAAATTTTATTGTTTGTTGTTTGTTTTTCTTAAGTTTGGCCTTACTTTATTAACTTCCTCCTTCCCAAAGGTGGGAAATGAGTTTTTGAATCATTCATTGCATTATATAATTGGAAAAGAATCTAGTGCTTGATGTATTGACTTATCTTCTATGCCCTCCGTGTCATTCAAGCTATGGAGGAAACTTATTTGTGGCCATTTTCCTGCTATTGTCACACAAAGTTGATAAGAATAGTTCTTTTATAGCGTCTAAAGCTTTGCATGCATGTGTTGTGTATTTGCTATGTGCTAATGCATGCGTATATTTGAAGAATGGTGTGCTCATTATTCGTCATTTTTTGCCTTTTTCTTAACCTCTCCATGACAGGCCAAAAAAGTTGTCAAAAGTATTGAATCATCTTGAGCTCAAAGGTGAGTTCAAGCCTCCGACTAAGGATTTTGCAAGGAATGCGGTCAAAGCTGTTGAGAAAATAAGTATCCCTTTCTGTCATAGTTCTCATTCTGCTTGTGAAATCACAAAGATAAACTTTTCTTTTTGGAGAAACATCAAGAAAAATATTTGAAAAGATTATAGGAACTCGGAACTTCAAACAATTTCTGTGTCATTTTTGGGATTCATGCTGCTTTCTTGCGTCCATTTAATTGTCAATTAGGCTTTTAAGGCTCGTAATGGCCTTTTGCTCGATGCTACCTGTCCAAAATATTATTTGCAGCAAGCAAGCAAGTGCGCTCAAGTGCACACAGTTAATAGTTTCGTGTAGTGAAATAATATTGGGCGCTGTACTCTGTAATAATCAATTATTATTACAAATTGTTGAACAACTGCCGCAGAGGCATTAGTGCTCACATAATATTGATTAGTGCTCGCATAATATTGCCTCTTCTTTATCATATAACTAAAATTATTTTCTTTTTGTTTTTTCAAAAAGAGCTGTTTATTATGTTATTATTTTCAACTATTTGACAACCATCTAAATTTGTACAAAATATATGTTTAATTATCATTTAACGTTTTATTAAAGCTTAAAACTTAAATTGATAGATATACTTATTGTGTAAAAAAAATTTGTTGGGTTTTTTAAAAATAATATATTAAATTGTGATTGCACCCAAATGTCAAATATGTTCGTACAATTATATGAGAAAAAAAAAACATTTACGAACTTGGAGTTTTTTAAATAGAAAGTTTACGGAAATGGGAAATTTGTTGTCTCTTATAATTATTGCATGCCATTAATATTTTATGTAGTAAAGTGAAGAAAAACTATCTTTAGTATAAAACAAATTAGGTACGATTAACAGATCTTGTAAATTGTTATTTTCATAATCTAATAAAAATTTTAAAACAATTCAATTATATTTATGCGGTCTGCTAACATGTTTTCTTAAAACACTCAATAGTTACTGTAATACTAAATTAAAAACAAAAGTAATGCAACTCTGAGAAAATAATCAATTCAAACATGTTCATATGTTTTTTATCTGCATGTGCCCTGAGAATGCAACGCATTCTTATCGGCTAAATCACAAATCATGTTGATATCTGTCCTTACAATCTTAAAATTAATGACTCATCCTTTTAATTTGTTCCAAATTTAGTTCCTCAATTAATTTTTGGGTTAAAGACAAGAGATAATTTTATAGACACTAAAAACTTCATAATTCCTCAATTTACAGAGAATTTGAATATATAAACTTAGTTCTCTTACACCAATCTTCTGCATAATTCCTCAATTACCACAGTTCCTTTCTGTCATTTTGCTTGTATAAGTTCAATAATTTTTCAAGCCGAACAGAAAATGAAGAACTGAAATATATTCTAGGCTAGTTCTTGGTTAAAAAATAAAACACGAGTCAGTTGAACTTGGTGAAAATTAAAATACTCAGTAACTGGGAATTACATCTTGTTAATGTAAATTGAAAAGCCAAAGCTATATATATCCTCTTACAAGTTTCTTCTCAGACTAGATCACAGAATCAATTGGCACCAGAAGCACTTTTTTATGTTCCATCTCCCTTACAATGATTCAGATGGCAGACCATTTTCCCCTTAAACCCAAAATACTGGCTGCCAAAGTGAAGATACAAAAACGTAGAGATCACCCTAGGGAAAATCACAGCTTAATAAAAACTCATCATGCCCAAACCATACACACCCCAGTAGTGGCTCAAGAATGAAATCAAAGCCGAAGGAGAAAGAAATCAGCTTAGTTTCTTCTTCTCCAATACCCATTTCCGGACTCTACCAATACATTCTACATTAAATTTCGAAAACAAATGGTGTACTTTCCTGTATCCGACCATGACATATCTGTCAATATAATCCTCGTATCTGTCATAGAGTGCTGGAATTGTAAGGATAATAACAAGGCCTGCAGAGAGCAAAATAAAATAAGTAAATATTTTACAGGTCGTGTGTCTGATAATGGGGATAATCAACTTTCACGAACATTTTTTTAAGAGCAATGAAGAAAAGAGAATGAAATTGAAACTTACTGGTGTAGGCTAAAGTAAGGAAATCAGTCAAGCCACCAACAAAAGAAATCAACCATAGATATGCAGCCACTCTGAAGAACATCCGTGGGTTCTTACCCAGCGCAATATCCTGGGAAACTGAGAGCAAATTGTTTAAATGAGTGCGGATAAAAGCTGACACTTCATTTACTATTTCTTCTGATAGATGCAATTCTGGCAGAGGTGGAGCAGGCCTGTTCAGAACAATGAAATATCTAATTGATTCAATTGCAAGTTACTAATGGAAGAAAAATTAGGTGCTCACATCATTTTTGCCTCCATATCAGTTATTGTTTTCTAACATGATCTTCACACTTGACAGGTGACAGAAGCTAGGCTAATCAAAGATCAATATCAGAACCCTTTCCCTAATGTTTTCTTTTTGTTTCTTCAATAGTCAGTTTACAGAAGGGATGGCAGTAAGAGAATAGAAAGAAAAATCTAAACTTACCCTGTCAATGGACCTAAGAGTAAGACTGCAATAAGCGGCCACTTCATGTAGTACGACACTCCCATTCATTTATTCATCAATCACTTCTTACTCGTATTAGTTGTTTCTACTCGATAAAATTAAATTTAGGAAAAATTCTGCTAATTCCAGAGATGCCAACACAGAACTTGAGGCTAATCCCAGATTGATCATAGTACAAAACTGCTCTCCAAAACCCTAGATATCCAATACTTCTCATAATTTTAAATGACCAACAAAAACTGAAAATCTATAATAAGAATCTCTTTCAATGTCAAAACAAGTTATTTTCTTAGCACAAATAAGCAATTTGGGTGATCTGCAACAAGGGTAATTAATGTAAAAACCATCACAGACAACAAAAATCAGCATGTCAAGATTGGACTTGTGCATCATGCAAATTCTAACTGATCACCTTGACTTGCATAGCTTTCGTACATACACTAAACAGTCTGACCTAATTATTCCTCTTGAGTAAAATATCTGTAAATTACCTGTTAAGAATAGCTGCAGATTTGGCCCAAAGAAACAGGATGACAATTAGGAGGAGTAAAACGCTGGAGACAAGTGAGAGGAGGGTATAACCAGATTTCTCAAAAACCATCCAAGCTGCTAGAGTGACTAACAATATCCCCACAGTTAAATTCTTCCGCCTCCACAACATAACATCTGCAGCTGTTTATAGGGAAAAACAACCAACAGTTTCTCAAACAAATCAATCGTAAAGCAATTGATATCAGATCAAAGAAATCAATAAAAGCTGTGTAACACCAGAAATCACTAAGAAAACTATGAATAAGAAATGAAGAATCAGGTAAAACATGTGGACGACAATTACTTTCCAAATTAAATCTGGCATCGAAAAAGTAAAATGCAGAAGTGAAATCCACCGGTGGATCAATTTTTCTTTTGGGAGGGACAGAACAAAAAGAAGATCGCTAAGATGATCAAATGAACTTACCAAGGCCTCCTCCAAGAATCTCATGGACTGTTCTCTGTCTGTTAAACAATCTATCGGGAGAACCCATTAGTAAAATGAACTTTAAGAAGATAACCCTGTATTCAGTTCAGATCTCTACCCCAAAAAATTGAGAAGCTTTGAGAAAATCATCAGAGAAAAAGAAAAACAAAGGGGGATCTATGGGCTTTTACCACCATCTGCCACTAACTAATATATTACAGGAGAATGACTGTTGAAAAGTATGGTTGATGGCCTCAGATTCCAGCCTAAAAGCATCACACCACTAATAACTTTTTCAAGCTTTTCGTCTTTTTCTTTATTTTCTCCTTCTTCCAAATATAAAACTATTGCTCGCAATACATGTTGATCAGTATGTACAATGGGGGATAAGGAGAGCGTGTACATGTGTCTGAAAATTAAAATGGAATTGACTGCTGAACTGCTAGGCCTGCGATTGCTGCTTTACGGTCACCCTTCGTGTCCTCCATTATCAAACTTCTCCCCAACTTTCAAACCTCTTTCCAAGACAAAGTCTTGGGTGAGCTTATATTTTTATCTATCGTGTGAAGAAGAAAATTAACCCTCTTCTATTTTAACTTGAAAATTAATCTCTTTTATTTTATTTTATTTTAATTTCAAGTTAATTTAACCATTAAAAAATAATTTCAAAATATTTATTAACTTAATTACTAAAATATCTCTATAATATAATATCATCTTATCCGTTATAGTTGCTACAAACACTCAAAAACACAATACTAATTACGAGTGGACTTGACGAAATTGAATAGGTACTAAAAATTCTAATACATACAGACCAAAGATCCAACATAAATAATGCAGTTCGTACTAAATATTAATTGTTAATTTTTTTATTAACTATTAGTTTTTAATATATTATTAAATATTAAATGTTAAATAAACGGTTACTTTTTTATTAATGTTAATTATTAATTTCTTGTTAAATTAAATGTTAAATATTAAATCTTGGAAATTTTTTTCTAAAATGTTAATTGTTAATTTGTCACTAAATCTTAAACGTTAAATTAATTTTAAAATAAAATAAATTACTATATTTTTATATTTATGATTGTTGGTCCAATTAAATTAAAAATCAACCCAAGCGAAAAATATTATTGACCTTACATTTTATAAATCAAGAATTGTACTAGACTACGTCTGAACTAATTTTATTAATTCTCATTTTTGGGTTCAGAATAAACCACAACTCTCATTTTTTTTGTCTATAACGAACCATGAACATTTTTACTATTTATAATAATTATTTTATCAACTGTCATCTCTCATGACTTTATAAAAATTATTATTTAAAATTAACTTGAATAAGTCAACGAACCATGACTCATACATCTCAATGCTATTAATTTTGGAATTAAAAAAAAAATACTAAATTGATCATCTTCTAGTATAAAAAAGATAAAAAGTTTCGATCATAAGTCTCTACCAAACTAATACAATGTAAATATTGTATAAAATATTGGACCAAACCATGCTAGATATTATCTTAATAGCCTACATTTTAAACCTTGAAAATATGGTCTTTGTTTTTTTAATTTTTATCATGCTCCCATAAGATGTAGTCAACATGTCAATCTTGTACCTAAGAATCTGGGAGCATCATTAAGGCGACTTTCTTTGTTGGTGAATCAACTTATTAATCTTTACTAGAACTATGTTGAACATGGAGAAGACGAGTTTGAATCTTTTAACTTAGAAAGTTATAGTCAATATATATATCCTTTTTCTTTTAGTGTTAAACCATATTTCGAAATAATAATCGAATCTAAAAAAGTTTCATAGTTAATCTAGCAACATCTTTGTATTTGATTTTAGTTAGTGATTTCATTACCATCGATTGTTTTTTAATAACTGAGAAGTTTGATTATTTTCCTTATAGATGCTAAAGTTAAAATTGAGTGAAATTGACATGTTTTCTAAATTATACAATAACATTTTACTGACATGATAAAAGATTTATAGATAATTGATATATATATATATATATATGAAGCAAAAATAGACACTTTAATTTAAGGAATATCTTGTGAAGATACAATCACGAAACTTGAGATTAAGTTATATTGTTTGTAGGGTGACAACCATGAATAAACAACGATACATTAAGACTTAAGATTTATCATATATAAGTGAAGTGTCGGATTTTTTTTTTCCTAACGTGTGGGCTTAATGTAGATTTTGGTATGCATATCATGTTATCAATTTAATGATCTCGTTTAAAACTGATCCAATATGGTTAAATAATATTGAGTTTTAATGCATCGGATTTAAGTATGGACTTATAATATACATATATCATTTTTGTAATATTCTTATTTTATGATGGGTAAAATAAAAATTACAAAAGTTAGTCGACATAAAAGAAGTTTATGGTCTTCGAATCATAATGTTTTCATTTTATTTTTTTGAAATCTCATCACTAGAAAAAATTAGTTTCAATTCGTTGTGTTAATTCGGAAGATCCTACCGTTGAACGTAAACAAATCTTTTGCGATAGATTCGATACAATAATGTATGTTTAATTTTTACAGATCAATAAATTTTAAAAAAAAATTTATTCTAACAATTAGTATCGGAGTCATTTCTCGTATTAAATTTCTAAAAAAAAAAATTTATTATCTAATTTTAAATTTTATATTCAAAATTTTAGATTTTAGATTCTATTTTTGTTTAGTTGAATATATATATATATGCAGAAAATTAATATATATATATATATATATCAAGAAGTTAAATATTATATATGTATATATATAGATATATATGAAGTAGAAAAGCAAAAAAGAAGAGCAGCAGCTAACCGCCACTACATGAGGAAGAAAATCTGGCGGTAAAGCAGCCAGTTTTGGCTGCCGAATTTCGTGCGTAATAGCTAGAAATTTTCAGCCGTTACTATAGCAATTAAAACAAAAGAAAGCAGTCATTATAGGCTACATGAGGAAGAATGAGAGAAAAAAAAAAAAAAAAAAGGGTTTTGAGCTTAATGGGTTGTCTTAAGTTTATGTTTTAAAATTAAATTAAGTGGGTTTGGTCCACAAGGAAAAAAAAATGAAGAAAATAAGGAAAAAAGAAAAGGTCCATTCGATTGGCCCAAAACCCAGGCCTGTTTGAGCTGGGCCAACCCGATCTGAACCCAACTTGACCCGAACCCGATGGGTGTTAACCCAACCCGGTTAACGATCAACTTTGACTAGTCAATGGCCAACTTTTGACCCAAAAAAAATTTAAAGGTATTTTTGGTCATTTTATGGTTAATTTTTTTCTTAATTCAGTTTAAACTTAGTTTTAATTTTAAATTTTAATATTGGTATGTGCATATATATATTGAAATAATTTAATTTATACAACATGTTACCAAAGTGACCTTTCTCGTAGATAATTTATTTATTTCATAATATAAATAACTGTATGAGTATAATTTAAGTAAATGTTAATCAGCTCAAATGAAGGTTAAATTCAACATTATTACATTCTATTTTTGAAGTAATGAATATGTGACAATTATTCAGTATAAAATGTTAACTTTAAATTGGTCCAAATGAAGATTTATTGTTTGACGTGTTTCTACTGTCTGTATTTAATTAATGTTATAGGGTACCACTTACAAATTAATATTATGTTCAAAAATAGAGTGTTAATGGAGTGCTCAATATTTTGATATAAGAATATACTTTTATTTAAAATGTTATTAAATTTTATAATTTACAATTTTATGCGAATATTAATTAATTTATTTTTATATGTTTTCTCTTTAGTTTTCTTTTCTACTAGAAGTATCACCGCAAATATTAATTTCATCACAATGTTGAACATCACAAATTTCAAGCAATGGAAGAACAATGTTCGACTTGTGCTTGGACTTATGGATCTGGATTGGGCTTTACGAGTTGATTAACTCGATCCGATTACTCCTAACAGCACCCCCTGAGGAAAAAAAAAGAGTTTGAAAGATGGGATTAGTCAAACTGTATGAGTATGTTGGTTATAGAATAGGACATTTCAGAGGTTTTTCGGGATATTATGTCCGATAAGATCACCACAGCTAAAGATTTCCGTCATTCTCTAGAATAATATTTCGCCAGAAGTCAAAAGGTCGAGGCATGTACACTTCTGTCGACTCTTGTTTCCATAAGGTATAAAAAAAATCGAAACATTAGAGAGCACATGATGACGATGTCACATGTACATGCAAAGCTCAAAGCACTTAGAGTGGAATTGTCAAAAGAAATACTTGTGTACTTTGTTTTGATTTCTCTTTCACTATAGTTTAATTATTTTAAGGTGACATATAATTGTCAGAAAGAATCCTAAAATATGAATGAGCTTATTTCACATTGTGTTCAAGATGAGAAAATGTTCAAGTCTGAGAAGATAGAGAGTGCTCATTTCGCAGTAATCTCAAATGATGAAAAGAACAAGAAAAAGAAAATATGTAAATATATTGCAGTTCTAGTACAACAGAAGAAGCAACAAAAGGTTCATACTGAAAATGTTTGTTTCTTCTGTAGAGCTTCGAAGGACACCATAATAAGCAATGCGCTAACTATCATACGTGGCACGCAAAGAAATTGATGTTTCTTAATTTTGTTTGTTCTGATGTCAATTTAACTTTTGTACCTACACACACCTGATGGATAGATTCTAGTGCCACAACTCATAGTAGTGTGTTTATGTAAGGTTGCCTCCATTGTCGCAATCCAAGTGATGGTGTTCAAATTCATTTATATGGGTGATGACAAATTAGTCGAGATTGAAGCAATTGACAAATTTAGATTGTTGTTAAGAACTGAATTTTATTTGGATTTAGAAAAGACTTTTATTGTACCATTAGTTAGACGGAATGTGATTTCTGTTTTTATATTGGATAGATTTTGTTATCCATGTTCATTTAGAAATAAAAAATTTAGTCTTTCTTAATTCAAATATGGTTGATTCTAGTTCTTTATCAGTACATAATAATCTTTATTTGTTTAATACAATTGCTTCTTATAATAAATTCTTGCATGTTGGTATAAGAGATACAAAGAGAAAATTAACTAAGAAGAATTCTACTTCTTTATGACACAAGAGATTAGGTCACATCTCTCAAAGGAGAATTGAGAGATTTGTGTCATATGAAATTCTAGATCCCCTTAATTTTTCAGATTTTGATATATGTGTTCATTTTATCAAAGAAAAACAGATAAACATTAAAAGACTAGGTGTCAACAAAGCTATGAACGTATTAGAACTCATTCATACAGATATTTATTGATCATTCTCTACGCCTTCTTAGAATGGTCAATAATATTTCATAATGTTCATAGATGATTATTTAATGTATGACTACCTATATCTAATTCATGAGAAGTCTCAGTCCCTAGATGTGTTCAAAATTTTTAAACCAAAAGTTGAGAATCAACTCACCAAATGATTAAAACTGTTAAATATGACTGTGGTGGTGAATACTATAATAGATCTGATGGATTAAGTAAATCGTCCAGGGTCGTTTGTTTAATTCCTAGAGGAATGCGGTATCATCCCACAGTATACCTTGTCAGGTTCTCCTAGCATGAATAGTGTTGCTAAAATGTTAAACATAATATTTAAGGATATGGTAAGGAGTATGATTAGTCATTCTATCTTATCTGAATCACTTTGGGGAGAAGTATTAAAGACTGCAACATATTTACTCAACAGAGTTTCAATTAAAGCAACTAAAAAGATCTTATGAGCTTTGGATGGGCAAGAAGTCTAATTTAAGATATTTGCACATTTGAGAATGTTCAACTGAGGCTAGGCCTTATAAGCCACAGAAAAAGAAACTGGATTCTATGACTGTTAGTTGCTATTTTATTGGTTATTCTGAGCGATTCAAGGGTTACAAGTTTTATGATCACTACTAAGATAATTTTTTAGACGAAAAATACTAAGTTCTTTGAAGATGTTGAGTTTGCGAGGGGAGAAAGAGTTCGCGACCTTGTTTTTGAAGAGGAATTGGTCAATATTCATATTCTCTCAGTTGCTCTTGACAATGATCAAGATCAGGTTTTTATACCTAGCATTGTTCAAGAAGCAACTCCAAATCAAAACAATGTCATAGTATCTCACATTCCTGTTCAAGAAACTCTTTCTGAAACACAAACTTCACACCCTTAAGAATTTATGCCATTAAGGAGATTCACAAGAGAGAGGAGAAGTGCAATATCAGATGATTATTTTTAAGAACATGAGTTTGATATTGGCACGGTGGAAGATGATCTTATCAACTTCCGTCAAATCATGAAAAGTTCTAATTTTCACAAGTGGATTGATGTCATGAATGAAAAGATAAAATCCATGAAGGACAATGACGTTTGGGATCTTGTCTCATTGCCTAA